GAAGCAGTCCATAGCTAAATCTGGTTGTGCTTTTAGATTTATTAATCAGTGAAACTTTTAAATTGTGTATATATATCTATATTATAAAGAATGTACTGCTGTTTGAAGGTTGGATTTTTTGTATTGATTCATTGTTATTAAGGTGAATAGAGACGCCTTTATTTTTCTGTGGGTTCAACCAGTCTATGAAAGATAACACCGTGCATAGTTTAATCAGCTTGAATATAATGCTACTATTATATTCCAGTGAGATGAATTTGAAAACCACTCTTCATGCTGCTGTGAATGCCAGTAACATTATTCGTACACCTATGTATTTAGAAACACTTTTCCAAAACCTTGTAGCTTGGTTAAAATGATAAAGATTAATTAGATGCCAGCATCGATTGAAACATTTCAGTCATCTATTATTCCATTTATCTAATTATATTCACATTTCAACAATGTTTCTATGAGCTTTTTGTTCTGGCATTTTTTTAATTAATTTAGGATTGGGACTTTGAAATTAAACATGCTGTCTTGCTATTACCTTGTGTTATTTTGTATGGCGTTACAAATTTGACTGACTGGGTTCCTACTGTCTTTTGCACAATTACGCATATTATTTTCAAAAGTTATTTGCTTCAACACAGGTTTGTGTCTCCTAGCAATTGATTTGAATAGTTTTTAATTATTTTAATTTTGTATCACAATACCTAATGCTGATATTGGTTGTATATAGACGGTTTATGTCATTAATTCTAATTTATAATTGAGCAGATCAACCTCCTGATTTTAAACATTTAATTTCATTTTGCCTTATAGTATTTTATATCATGTAATTAGTGAAAATGAAAAAGGCACTTTTCTTCAATGGGTTATATGAACTATCCCATGCTGTAGATAAGATTGTTTGTAAAGTAAAGACATCTAATTTCAATGCTAGTTAAATGAACATTATTTAAAATTGAATTGAAAAAATATCAAACTTTTACCTTTAAAGTTACTGATTTAGTTCATATGTGCACAACAGAATATTTTTGTGATGTGAATTTTTTTTTAAAGGCATGGCCTGTTAAAAGTCTGGAGGGGGGGCGGAGCCTAACTGCAGAGCCAGCCGGATGCACTATGGACGAACTCCGGGTGAAAAACTGCTAAACTACCAACTAGATTGATTATACTTGACAGTCCACTGCCTACAGCACTCAGTTCTAACATGTATAAATCTACCAGAGTTTGACCGGTGCCCGGCAGTACTGGATCTCAGAAAGATTGCGGCCTACTACACGTGGGCGAGAGGGAGCTGGCCGATCCTTTTGCCTTTGGGCTCCTTGAATTTGGCAGGGTTCATCAGAGCATATTCCTCCCTCCACCACCGGTGAGGGTAATCTTGTTGTGGGGTCTGGAGGCACGTTAGTTCAGCTACACAACGGGACAGATACCTCCTGTAAAATGGCGGATGTTCAGTGCACCCCTGTCAGCAGAAAACAGCTGCCTTACATCCTGCTAACCTAAACAAGTTATATAATGATTTCTGGGATAAGAAGATATATAGTCAGCAACATCCCCTCATACCAAGCATCCCCTCTTCAAATGAGCCAGAACCAGATACTAGCCTTGAGCTAGGGCAGTTCCTAGGCGAACAGGAGAATCCTTACCTAAGTGCAACTGGAGACGCAACTGGAGACGCAACTGGAGACGCAACGGACACTGCTTCACTCGGAACTGCAAGCTAGGCCTCAACGTTGCACCTACCTGTGTCTACCTTGGACAGCCAGGTTCCTACGGTGACCTCTGCAGTCAAGACAGCAAGTACACCTTGACCATGGCCTGATGGAGCAATCTGCTACAAGCGTCCAGTGCCTCTATGACTTCTTAGTATTAAGCAGGTGTCACAGTTACTATATTACCCAACACGCAGAGCTATGTAACACACAATGAACAAGCAGTAGAATTGCCGGACTTAAGGTAATAAAGAATGGTCAAAATATTAGCCGAGGGCAGGACACAGAAAGAGACACAACGAGGAAGCAAGCCAAAAGTCAAGGATACCAGAAATAAGGGAAAGTCAAAATACAAGCCATAGTCGAAAAACCAAAAATAAGTAGAACCAGAACGTACTCTCTGACAACCAACTAGTGGAAACCACGACAGGGCACTGACCAAATGCTATTTTGAGTTTAAATAACCCTCCTAAGGTTATGATTGGTTGAACATAGCCTTTGACCCCAAATCTGTGTGCGCATTGGTTGCGTGATGTCACACGCATGTCGGTGCCATCTTTGTTGAGGATGGAGGCGGGGCTATATTGTTTCGTGGGACTGCAGGGACCGGTGTTCATTATAACGCCGCACCGGTCGGGGATCGCTCCACGAGGGTGCTGAATGACAAGCTGACTTGTCAGGTAAGTTATTTATTATTTTAACAGCGTGACCGCAGCGATTGGATGTGGCAAGCTGTATGAAGGCGAGTTGGACATGACAACAGGTGTGTCTTACCTCTGAAGGGGATTGGGAAGCCTGGGCTCCTAACCCCAGTGTGGTCCAGAGTTGCAGGATAATCTCTGAACTGGGACAAACAACAGTAGCCAGACCTTCTAACAGCACTAAACATAGTATTTCTAGTGAAAGTGAATATGCTCCCAATCAGGGCCGGCCTTAGGTCATTAGGCGCCCTGTGCGAAAAGTCTTCACGGCGCCCCCCCCACCAAGTTGATTGTATACAGTCAAACACACAGGTACACGCAGACAGTCACACAAACCGTTACCAGAACTCAGACACGCTCAGTTACAGGCAGGCAGACAGTCACACACACACACACACACACACACACATACACACTCAGTCACAGGCAGACAATCAATGAGCCAAACATGCAGTCACAGGCAGACAGTCACACACAGTCATAGGCACACAGTCACACATACTCCATTACAAGCAGACAGTCATACACACTGTTACATGCATGCAGACACTCACGCATGCTGATAGGCACACACACTAAGTTAAAGGTAGATAGTCGCTCACACACACAGACAGGCAGACAGTCACACAAACCGTTACAAGCAGTCAGACACGCTCAGTTACAGGCAGGCAGTCACACACACACACAAGCTCAGTTACAGACAGTCACAGAGCCAAAACACACAGTCACACAGTCACACACAGTCACACACAGTCACAAGCAGACAGTCACACATACTCCATTACAAGCAGACAGTCATACACACTCTGTTACAGGCATGCAGACACACACACACACACACACTCAGTTAAAGGCAGATAGTTAAACATACAGGCACATGCACAAACACTATGGCACAGCTACAGCGACACACACAACTGGAGTCACACACAGTCAGACAGTCACACACACAGGCAGACAGTTACACACAGGCAGAAAGTCACACACACACAGGCAGGCTGACAGTCACACACACAGACAGTCACTCACACACACACAGGCAGGCAGGCAGACACACACACGACAGGCAGTCACACAGGCAGACAGTTACACACAGGCAGAAAGTCACACACACACAGGCAGGCTGACAGTCACACACACAGACAGTCACTCACACACACACAGGCAGGCAGACACACACACGACAGGCAGTCACACAGGCAGACAGTCACAAAGGCAGGCGGTCACACACAGGCAGGAAGTCACACAGACAGACAGTCACACACACAGGCAGACAGTCACACACACTCTGTTACAGGCATGCAGACACTCACGCACGCTGATAGGCACATACACACTCAATTAAAGGCAGATAGTCGCTAACACACACAGGCAGAAAGTCACACACAGACAGTCACACACACAGACTTCCCTCTTTCAATTATGGCTGAAAGGGGGAGTGGATGCAGTTTGATGTTGGGGAAGCAGGGACTCCTTCCTTCTTCCCTCTTCCCGTGCAGCAGTTACCAGGGGCTTCGAGTAGGTATTAGCCCCGCCTCTGCCTTGTGAAAAGCCCCACCCTGCCACTCGGTAAGCCCCACCCCCTCGGTTAATTTTTTTTAAATTATAGACCCGGGTGGAGAATAATGAAAACCAGTTTTAGCTCCCCTGCACTCCTGTCACCCGGCCATGTGTGAGCTGTGTTGGCCACATGGCCCTCTCTGGCTGCACAGCTCGCATACCCTTAAGGCCAGGACACTCCCATACACAAATAAAATAATCCCTCCTCTGTGCCTTGGAGATAATTTAATAAGGAATCTAATCCAATTATCTAAAAGCACAGAAAATCATACTTTTTTACAAAAAAAACAAAATACCTTTCAAACACACAAAACACCCACAAAAGTTAAATCCCTTGATAGCCCTGATGTGGGTGACCAACATATACAAAAATGTCCCAGTTTGGGTTAGGGGTTTGGAATTTTTATGGAAGTCATAATTTTGACTGACCATGCACATGGTCCTATGCCCAAAACAGTGCTGAAATCAGTGCTAACAGGTTTACCTGCAGGGCCCATAGTCTGGGCAGGAGGACAGTTTGTCACAGTAGAGTTTGTCACCGTAGGGGTAGAATTAAATTGATCAAATGTATCCAAGGGTATTAGCATTAACATAATTATCTTTTACTGGAAATAACACTAAATAAAACAATGAAAATCAGCTACAATGTATGATTATTATGATTCCTGTGATGAGTTATCAGATAAATGTATATTCAAGATTCAGCAACATACATCATAATCAAGCTTATTTAGGGCACAGCCAGGGCACATATTGCATTGAAGCATATAAACGAGCAGCAATGTATTTATTTCTCCTCCTTCACATACTGCGCTCAATGCCAGAAAGGGCAATGCTTAAAGTGAACCTGTTATGAAAAAATAACCTTCTTGAAATTGCTCCGCTCAGAACAGGCGTAATCAATAGAAATCCTGGTGATTTAAGAGACATGGCAATGAAGAGATCGAAGGCACAAGTGGGCAATACCTCTTCCACAGCCCTCACCTCCTTGTGGCGATTCTTCACAGAGAAATCAGAGCCGAACCCGCAATACAAAATGGCGACGGCCGGGAAATCTCCGATCAGTAGTGCACCATCAGACAGCTCAATGGAAGGTGCTAATTTGAGAACACTTCTCACACAATTACCCTCCAAGACCGACCTCAAGGTGATGTTTTCCAAAATGGAGAAAAGTTTTGGAGAAAAACTACAAACATTCCGCAAAGAGGTAGGCCACATGGGCACCAGGCTGCATATACTTGATGGCCCTGCAACACTTTAATATGCACACCCTCCAACAATCCCACACTGAAGCTATATTATTTTTACAATGAAAAATAGAAGACTTGGATAAAAGGTGCAACAACCTCAGGGTGAGAGGCCTTTCTGAGACACCTGATGGAGAACAAGAGAATATAATAAAAATTCTCACAACCCTTTTCAACCGGGTCCAAGACAGGCCACAAGACGCCATTATCAAATTTTAATATATAGATGGTGGAACTGCACTCAACGCTTCACTTTGGAATCTCAGGGTGCTGCTGGATCAGTCTCAGTACCAAAGAGAACATGTATAAAGTATAATTGTAGAAAATAATTCATGCACTCCAAATTGTTCCAAACGATAGGCAAAAATTGGACTAAAGAACCGCACAACGTTTCTACCCCTTAGAGCCTTTGACAAGCTACTGAACACATCGCTTTACAAACAATATATAGGTGCATAAAATAATTAACAAGTGATAAAGCATGTGAATTACTATAATCAATCAATTATACAATCAATCAATAATAGTTAAACAATTGTCAAACATAATCATCTCTCCAATCATTTTTCCACATACGAGGAGTGTCACACCTCACAGGATAGTCAAGCCAATAGAGTACTATATTCTTAAATTATTCAATTAGTGAGACAATCTTTTTTAATGACATACAATGGGGCTAGGTAATTTCACCAAAACTTTGATTTACTTGGTGAAATTACCTAGCCCCATTGTATGTCATTAAAAGAGATTGTCTCGCTAACTGAATAATTTAAGAATATAGTACTCTATTGGCTTGACTATCCTGTGAGGTGTGACAATCCTATTATGTGGAAAAATGATTCATCCAGATCTCCCACCCCTGATGTTGAATGCATCAATCACAGTATTTCCTAAACCAGGTAAAGTTCCTACTCTATGCAAAAGTTTAAGTCCCATCTCCCTGATCAACATTGATTTTAAGATTTTTGCCAAGATATTGGCCAACATGTTCTTCCGGAACTAATATATCCAGATCAGGCAGGGTTTGTACCAGGTCGAGAGGCCAGGGATAATAACACATGAATCATTAATATAATTCACGGGGCAGTATCATCTAAAACCCCAACCTTTCTGCTCTCAGTCGACGCCGCAAAAAGTGTTCGACAGAGTAGATTGGGATTATCTCTTTTCTACGCTTGAAACACTGGAGCTGGGACATAACTTCAGGCACTGGGTTAGGGGACCTACAGCCACGGTTAATGTTAATTGGCAGAACTCGTCTTTGTTTCAGATTAGCAACAGCACTAGGCAGAGATGCCCTTTGTCACCCCTCGTCTTTGTTCTGGCTCTGGACCAATGACAACATTCGAGGCTATGGGACCAGGGGGAGGGATATAAAGGTTTCTGCCTTTGCGATTGACGTGCTCCTCACCTTCACCCATCCAGAGCAATCGCTCACACACATCAACCACACCTGCCACTTGCAAAAAATATTGCAGGTTCCGCACCCCCTTATACACCATAATCTGCAAAAATGGAGATTACACAAAAATATATAGAATTTATCCCTTTGTATATCCCCGTTATCAAATAACCCAGACCTCCTAGGAGGCCGAGGAGCACTATTTCTGATGAAAATGCTGGGATTGGCGAACCCACAATTTAGTGACTTACTAACAGCAGATGAACCTCCCAAAATTATTGCTCATCAGGGGCCTAGAGGGCACCCTTGCTGAATGACGCTCTGAGATGCTCGCAATTGAAGCACTGCCTGATGCATTCAGTTATACCGTACTAGACTACAAGGGTGTGACGAGACCAATCTCGCCACATTGCATTGGAGAAGCCTGGTTGCTCGCCTGCTGCCTCTGGACTATGGCCCCCTGTTAAAAGACTTTGTTTCGCCTGCAGAAAAGCTGTATTTGCGCTTTTCTGCCGGTTGTTCGGTAGATTAAATCTACCGAACAACCGCACGAATGAATAGACCACCTGGGAGCTGGAGTGTGAGCTTAATTGACGAATGCTGGGTGGCCGCCATTCGTATCCCGAACAAGAGGTCGCGGCCATTTTAAACATACGAATGCTCAGCGGTGTCCGTCTCTATTTTCATGGAACTAAAATCGGACACAGTTTTGCGCGAACACCGCTGAAGCCGTCGACCTCCCTTCTTGTCGTAGTTTTGTTTGAATGTGTTATACCCCAGATAGGAATCCCATGGAGCCCATTCGTATGAAACTGACTGTAAAGACTTTGGCTCCATGGCGATTAAACTGTATTCGTGTGGTCTGAGCGCCATTCGCTTAATAATGTGCGCTCAGACCTGAGCTATCTGGGGATATGTTAAATGTATAGTTTTAATGTAATGTGTCTTACATGGTGTATTTTAATAGTAATTCATGTTTTAGTATCCCCACGTGCATAATGGCAATTTGCCTTTGTCTTGGGAGATAATTGAATTACTTCTCAATTATCTCCCAGGGCAGACGGGAGGAAGCCAGGATGCATTGTGGGAATATATTGTGACTGTGTGTCCTATTTGTCTACTTGTCTGTCCTTTGTCACAGTCTCCCATTTGGTCCCCTAGGGGAGTGTCCACCAGGTGGGAGACCTGCATAAATACTGGGCAGGTAGCCCCCATTAAACAGACCACTGCTTGACCCTCAACACGGAGCCTTGTCTCGTCTTTGGGGGGATTTACTGAATGCTGATAGAGACTGATTGCTAGGAGTGTAAGCCGCTTGGATGCTTTTCCTATTCGTCTGGTAGCAGCAATTCGTATGGTTCCTGTTCGTCTGTTTGGAGTGCTATATTGGATGCCGTTCAGGAGTTTGAAGCATTCACTTATTGGCAGTTCGTGTGTTTGGTGTTCTGCAGTAGCTGTGCCTGCATCTCTGGAAAGGGGGCCGATCGCCTAAACGGTTTTAACCCTGGGCGAGCAGGAGGTGCACACCTTCCAAAGGAAACAGATGCGTGGACTACACATACATATGTCAGAACAATGAGTAAGCGCTGAATAACACAATTTAGCAGCAACCCTATAAGGGAATCCCTCAAAAACCCTTAGAATAAAACACAAAGAATACAAGGAAAGGGCTGCGCTTAAAAAGTACTTAAAAGGTATTAAGAGTCCAGATAAAATTGATGAAAAAAAAGGAAGAGGATCTTATCTGGCAATGTCCGTAGTATTTAGTCCGGAGCAGTAATCTTGCTTTCTATCTTCCTTATGGGCCGTCTCGTATGTAAGAGATGAAAACAAATACAGAACCCAAATGGTGTAGTATATCTTAGTAAAACGGAAATTAAAATATAAGACTTGAATGCAAACTCACATTTCCAAGAGCTAGAACCTGCTCTGGTGTAAGGGGCGTACAGTGGTTTAGATCCCCGCTTATGGGATATGGAATGCTTATCCTTCACGTGCCTCGTCCTTCCGTAGTGTGGGAGATACTCAAATAAAAAGAGACAACTAATAGTGCTCTCTGTATAAAACTGAAGATAAAATATAAAATAAAAGTGGATACTCACAAGGCAGGAGCAGGTCAATTGCTCCTGATATATCGCGCTGGTGGAATAATCCCCACCTAGGATTGCTTGGAGTCCAACGAATAGTGCCAGGTAATAATAATAAATATATGTGTATAAAAAGATAAGTGGCACAATAAAAAGTTACCAAATATACTTTAATTATAACATTACACAATATAAAAAAACCATAAACGCGTTTCGCCAGTCAGCGTTATCAATATGGGTAAAGAACCTGATACCTGGCAGTGGATCATTTAAATAGCATATACAGACAATTCAAAAATTGGCGCCAAAATTAGGACAGCCAATCAGATTACAAGTAAAAAATACATATGATAAAACACAGTTAAAACAATAAAAAAGAGGTACATAAGTGTAGACATAAGAATGACTGTTCTAGATATATAATTGAACTTTAAAAACGATCCGTTTTTCATAAAATATATTATGTGATGCACGGTCACATGACCGGCATCGGAACCGAAAGGGGTAATGGGATATGTAGTATGACGCTGGCCGGCACTGCGCAGCCGCCGGCGTCATATAGGGGGACTGGCAACTGGCGTCTGCACGCATATGAGGTGCGGCCAGACGCCAGTGAGCAGGGGAGATCGGTGTCAGCACGCACGTGGTGCGGCTGACGTAGATGAAAGGGGCGGGCGTCCTGATGACGGCGGCACGCACTCGGCAGTGGCCGTCGTCATCAGGAAGTGAGTAGACGACGGCTAGCACAATGCTGCAGCCGTCGTCAAGGAAACACAATAAACAATAAAGTGGGCAGGCTGTAGCCGGCAGGAGGAAAGTGGAGGGGAAAAATGAAATATAAAGAAGAAAAAAAGAATATAAGTAAAACCATGAGTATAATGAGTGAAGAATAAAAATAAATATAAAAGTAATAAAAATCAGCACCATGCCTACCCCACTCAATAGTGGGAGCAGGCAGGTGACTAAACAATAGTGAAAAAAAGAGTAAAAACAGTTTAAAAAGATTAAAAAGATAAGCACATGTTTATAAAAAATTAAACAAATCAAATTCAACATTCAGACCATAAGGTGCAAGAGTTTGAAGTTTGTAAACCCATTCCATCTCTTTCTTACCTAAAATATTTTTAATATTTCCACCCCTGCAAGGAACCACACATTTTCCTATGGCAATGCACTTCAACATTTTAGGATCTTTGTTATGTATAATAAAATGTTAGGATACTGAATGATTTAGGTATCCATTTTTAATGTTTCTGCAGTGTTTGCTCAAACGTATTTTTAAGCACCTTGTGGTCATTCCAACATATTGGAGGCCACAAGGGCATTCGAGCAGATATATCACATTTTTTGTGGAACAATTAATAAAATCATTTATTTTATAAACCATGTTTGTCCTTTTTGATATGAATTCCGTTACTTTAGAAGGAACATCAGGGTTGGTGGATTTACACACAATACACATTTTACACTT